TTGCGTTCTACGATGATATATACTCTGATTTCTACGATGATATATTTTGAGTTCTACGATGATATATACTCTGAATTCTACGATGATATACTTTGAGTTCTACGACGCTATATACTCTGAGTTCTGCGATGATATACTTTGAGTTCTACGATGATATATACTCTGATTTCTACGATGATATACCTTGAGTTTTACGATGATATATACTCTGACTTCTACGATGATATACGTTGAGTTCTACGATGATATATACTCTGATTTCTACGATGATATACCTTGAGTTCTACCATGATATATACTCTGATTTCTACGATGATATACTTTGAGTTCTACGATGATATATACTCTGATTTCTACGATGATATATTTTGAGTTCTACGATGATATATACTCTGAATTCTACGATGATATAGGTACTTTGAGTTCTACGATGATATATACTCTGAAGTCTGCGATGATATACTTTGAGTTCTACGATGATACATACTCTGATTTCTACGATGATATACCTTGAGTTCTACGATGATATATACTCTGATTTCTACGATGATATACCTTGAGTTCTACGATGATATATACTCTGATTTGTACGATGATATACTTTGAGTTCTACGATGATATATACTCTGATTTCTACGATGATATACCTTGAGTTCTACGATGATATATACTCTGACTTCTACGATGATATACTTTGAGTTCTACGATGATATATACTCTGATTTCTACGATGATATACCTTGAGTTCTACGATGATATATACTCTGATTTCTACTATGATATACTTTGATTTCCACGATGATTTAATTTTCAGCTGGACGAAGTTTTCGTGACGTCACGAGAGCGTCGTCCACACTTTAAAGCGGTATATCTCAGCGATGGTTTATCGTAGAATAACGAGGTTTGAACAGTTATTCTTAGATTTTTTTACACTAAAACTTTAATTTTTGGCGCACACCCCCTTTAATGACAAAACAAAACCGGAGCTGCTGCCTTTTTTTTATTGTTTCAGATTTTGGCAGTTCTCCTGTTAATTCGAGAGCGAATTATGTGTCAGGTTGGCCGTGCGAGAATCTGATGCCCCAAAAATAGAGACGTGACAGCGACGCAAAAAGGATTTGTTCAAAACCATAGTTGATCCCTTGGTTTTATTATTTGGGTTGTATGATTCACTGTTTATGACCCGATCCATTGTTACTTTGGTAACATTGAAAGGGCTCTTCAAAAAACAGTTAGGTTTTAGGCTAGGTAGTTTTAGCGATTTTCGACAGGGACTTGCATTTTGTATAGCTTGTTGGACGCATCGCCGCCCTGATATTTTTGTGAATTTGAAATAAACTATTTTTATTGCCGAAAGTCTAGCGTTTTCTTACATATATATAAACAAAGTTCCAAAAAAATTATTGAGCCACTACTCCAATTGTCTTGTTAAGATAGAGATGTATTCAAGGGCCACACACGTTTGGGTGTCAAAAAGTTAGCCACGCCCCACGTTGGGCGCCAAAAAGTATAACGTACCTACTTATTTTGGCAATTGCCTAATTATACTGCATACGGCTAGTCAGCATCAGTCCGGAGGCCATGGGTCTATGGGTTCCTTGTATACATCTTACCTTTGGGCGCCACCAAGTTAATTGTGACTTAACTAGGAAGATTACTTATTGATGTTATAACAAAACCTGTACAATTGGAGCGCTTAACAATAAAACAACTAATTAGGTATAATAATGTATCTGGCTTTCTTTATTAAAAAATAATAACAATAATAATAAGGCGCCAAAAAGTGTAGCCACCAAGTAATTAGGACTTAACTATTGCGCCAATAAGTAGCCACGAAGTTATTAAAAAAGGTGTTTAGGATTATAGACCGTGAGATAGGGCCTGTTTAGTGGAGTAATTTTTTTTTGTCTGGCACTTTGAGGGATGAATGTGGCTAGTTAGCTGATGAGAATATAGGTGGTTTTAGTGCCTGCCACCTGTTCGAAATGTCCACAGAATGTTTCGCCGGAAAACTCGACTTCGAACTGGGATTACCTTCTGGCGATTTTTCAGCGATATTTTCATAACAAAACCTTCCATTCTCTCGATTACCAGACAAAAAGTAAACGCGGAAGGTTCTTTTCTTTTCTCTTGGCAGTTGACACTCATCTCCACTTTTTCAGCTATTGAAAAGCATCTGGTATTTTTTATGGGTGAATTATTTATCAATATCAATCTTTTCTATAGAAGCCAAAAATTTGAGATCATTAAAAAAAAATCCTCATGTAAATCAATTTTTTTCTTCTGCAAATTTTCGAACAGGAGGCAGGCATTAAAATCACCCATTTTCTCTTTAGCTTAGTAGCCGCATTCAGCCCTCAAAGTGACAGACAAAAAAAAATGACTCCACTAAACAGCCCCTATCTCACAATCTATTAGGCTTGTACCTAATTTGTGTATATTTGAATAAATAAAAAAAATGTCAATAATGAATATATGAATTTAAAATAAACAGTTTTAACTGTTTATTAACACTTGTGGAAGATTAAAAAAAAAACAGTATGGGTTACACTCTACCAACAGGCAAATTTAACACAGAAAGGTGAAAGTTATTCTTTGGGCAACCTCAGGGTAAAATTCTAGAATTTTATTTAAGGGGCACGTACTGACGTAATTCGGCGTCAGATGATTTATATATGATTTGCCTAAATAGTAAAAGTGCAACTTACATGTATACAAGTGAAATGTATGTGAAAATCCAGAAATTTCCAAAGTGAGGTTATCTACAGGTTTGGTCTCACTATTAGATAGACTATGGTATGGTAAGTGAGTCATGAGTCCTATCCACGTTGTATCTGTTTAACGTAGAACTCGATGTGGTTCTGCCAGAGTGGTACCAAGAGAGTTGCTGGAAAAAGGCTACGAAAGCCAACTAAGAGCAATCTAGATCTAGGCTAGAATCTCTTTCTAGGAGCTGTCCAACTATAACCTAAGAGTCCTAAGACTGTCTAGCTACAGCCTAGAACTAGGACCCTATAAAGATGTTCGTATAAAAAACAAATCGAGCCCCAAATATTAGAATTAATCTTACCTCAAATTGAGGGATACTCTAGACCAAAGGTGAAGTCTTAAACTTCCAAAAGCTGCTCGGAACAGTCCTATTGAAGAAACGAAACACGTGTTGTAGGTTAATAATCCTGAAGAAAATCTCAAAAACTTACCGAAACAAAATCCAAAATGACCAAGGGACGACTCCAGACAATTATCAATAAGAAATTAGTCTAAACCCTGGCACAAAATTCCAAAAAGTCTCGCCCAAAATCAAATAGGCCGAGACCAACCTTTCGGTATCAAGTCTCAAGATCAAAAGGGCTGATTCTTCCTTTAGATTTCGGAAGAAGGCTTTCACTTGTCAAACTTCTAATTTTGACATTGAAGAAAATTATAGAAAAAAGCGTGTTCAATTTCACTCCAAGAATACGAACTGAAAGTTTGTTTGTGTAAAAATGACTGATGAATATTGAAAAATGCCTATAGAACATATATCAAAAAGTAGAACAGGTCTAAAGAAAACGCCTAGACAAAACAGCTGTTCAATGACATGATGGAAATGAAAAATCAAAGAGTAAACAACAATTATTATCATAACCTCAGATTATTTATTTATTAATTGGATTTGCAAACAGAGATGATGAAAAAATCTCTCCTTTATATAAGATTCTAATCAAAAACAGCGGGCCCTCCGTACTGAATCAAACCTTCCTAGATCAATTAACCAAACTTGCAAACCTGAGCTAAAAAACTTTCAGTAGAAGGCAGTACTCAAGGTAATAAAATCTGGGCACAGAAAAGATAGTTGTTCATTCATTTATTTCTTTATAGTTCTATATAGCATCATATCTACTAGAGCAAAACACAGTAGCATATTAAACAAGAAATTGAAAATGCTACAACCTTTGGGATCGTATCCTCGAAAAAAGCTAATAATTCATATAAACTTTTTGGCAGTCAGTCGATTTGACCGAACGCGTGTACTGACGTAAGTTTTTTGACGCGTGTAATGACGGGTTAATAGAATTGCATTTTTTTGATATGAGCAATGAACTATAACCAAAAACTGGAATGCGAACACATATGGACGAACGTGAAACCTAGTGCGGCTGCTGCGGAGGGGATACCTGTTTTTGTCGCACTCATTATGTTGAATGGCGAAAATTGCTTCCAACACGTATTCCAATTGATGAAACCTGTGAAGGGAATTATGACAAAACTTTCGAAAACGTCATATGTCAGCGAGCAACAGAAAAAAACAACATTCCCCCTTGTGGCATCTGTCTTTCATGGCTTCATTTTTTTGGCAGATATGGCAATGTGTGCGCATTCCAGTTTTTAGCTATAGTTCATTGGATATGAGTGATTCTTATCAATTTATTAATAAAAATGTAACCTGGGAAAATGACAAACTCCACTAGACATGGTATGTCAAAGCAAAACGAAGTCGATGTGGCAACATTGCGACATGCTAACACCATTGTTGACGTGCATCCATTATTTTATTAATTTCCCTATACTAAATATTTCAAATTTGTTGCAGACAGGAGGATAAAAACCATAAATATTTGAAAAAAAGGACTAAGAACTTAAGTGCTACCGTCTTCCGTTTTCATTCAAAGTGTCGAAAATTCCTAATTTGAGTACCCACTCGTGATCAACCAGATAGTTCCCAAAATTCAAACATCGGCCGTCCGTTCGTAATCATTGACGAGGAAAAGGGCAACTCATAAATTGAGGAGATTGACAACGATGAAGAATTCAGCGATAGTAGGTAAGCGTTTCAAGTGAAGCAATATCATTTCAAGGTATTTCGAACCCTGCCACCGTTTTATGACCCAACCTCTAACATGTCCCAATTCGTAGAGAACATCATCAACAATTCAAAGTAGCTCGAACCTAGGCATATCCCAAAGACCTAAAATTCCAAATTTTGCATAATACCTATATTTCCACAATAACTCTTCAAGCCTAAGTTCAGAGCTCATCTCAAAATCAGAGTCCTATATAGAAGTGGCTCAACAGTCCTCTACCAAATTCTCCAAATATCTTGAGCACAAAGAAACTAGACTTTCTGGCACAGACCGAGGATTTATAGAGCTTCCTAGATTCTCGTATATCAATATCAATCCTGAAACCATCAAAATTAAAACACAAGCTTGAATTACCTGAAATGCCCCAGAAAGTGCCAATTCTCAGGACCCTCTACAAACTCAATCCAAACAGCCTTCAGCGGTACCTATCGTGCTTAAGAACGTCAAAACTTCCAAACTCCTACTGAACACAATGAAATCATTGGAATACAAATTCAGCGACGTCAAAAGCAACCACTTGGAGATTTCTGTCACCTCTAAATTCTCAAGACGTTCATCGCAAATTCGCCAAATACCTCAAAGTACAGAAATTTGAATTCCGAACTTCCATCCTTGCTGAAAAAAGTCTTGTTGAAAAAGGTCAAAGGTTTCGACCCTCTAAACAGCCCAAAACTCCCTTGTTTATCCAACTTCTGGTCTACTCTATGTGGGTAGATGCGCTTTCCAAGATATCTCATCTCTCTCTGTGAAGTTGTAGATTTTTTAAGGTTCTGAAAAGTTTTAGGTACGATCATAATTTAATCGTCGTAGGTCTAAGGTAGCGCCATAAAGAAGTACTGGTTCGATCCTGGTGAAGGATATATACTGTTTAGGGACCTAATGCCGTTGCGTGATAGGAAATTGGCTAACATGCGCGCTATGAATCGCAGTTTTCTCAGTCTCTGGAGGTCCCCCGACACCTAGGTAACATTCTGGACAAATGAGGAACAGATGTTGCTGAAAATCATTGGAGGATATCAGGCTACCAAGAAGGACGTTGTTTATTTCTACACTCAACAAAACTGGAAGAAAAACTACATTTAATCAAATAGTTGGTCGTGAGGCTGAGTGAAGTAGGGGAATACGGCTTGCGACAACTGACCTTGAAATCCAGAAGCGTCTTTTAACATAGAGGAGATTAAACCATTCTGCTACGTAGAGTATGCTTTATAATTGTCAATAAGGATGCCATGTAGATTTCTCAATATCATGAGCATATAGAAGGTTTTGATACAAAATAAACTGCAAGCGAAGAATACAAAAAGCAACAATATCACGCGGATGCTGTAAATGACTGACAAAGCAATCAGTCTTCTCATGAATGATTTCAACAGTAGAGTGGTATGAGAAGAAAATAATCTGAGCTCTAACAAGCTACCATGGCATAGGCGATAGTATCAATAGAGGAACGTCGTTGGTAAAATTCGCACTACAGAACTAGTTCCACATGACGAATGGATTTTTCAAAAAACAAATAACAGAAATTGACACGGAACAATGCTAAACGAGACTGATTGCAACGTAACAAGCAAAAAAACGGATATATCATGGTGTAGAAGCTCTCAATGCACTATGTACTGGAAAGGATGCCTCAAACTACTGAAAAATAAACGACTAGAACAAAAAAAACCTAAAACGAAAAACAGAGGAGGAAGCACATTTACAAATAAGAAGGAAATATATTGTGGAAAATGTCTGCAAGGATTTCAATGCTAAGAAGTCTATCGATCAATACTTTGATTTGCAAGTTGAAGAATAGTCCAGCATCAAGATTTGAATCAAATTAAGGTGAAAAGTTCATGAAAAACATGACGTATCAAAAAGCTTCCAGGGATTATGACGTGATGATGTGACGTAATGGCTCAGTGGAAAATTTGAAAACGATATTCAGATTTAAGCCAAAAGGTGTGAGTTTTCACGTGAATGTTTTGAAGCTGATAGAGATTAACTTGTTAGATTTATGGCAATGATAATTTATTATCCGAACAAAAACCTAATAATTCTACTCCAATTATCGTAGAAGTTGGGTGAAGTACTCCAATTACTATATCTCAGGTATTTAAATGATGGTAGGTACTTATTCGAATACAATTTCGTTCTCGGTTGGGCTTATCAGATATTTGGATGTGACATGTGATATTGATCTGCCTATATAGTATTTTTAATACCTATTTAAAGTTCGCCTTACGAGTCTAGCAGTATGGAAAGAATGCGGATAAAAATTGTAATATTGTCTATTTGACTTCCAATAAAAAATACCTTAATATTTATTTATGTTACACACCAACATTTATAAGGAAAAAGTAATACCTATTTAAAAACGTTGCACCCACGCCTATGACAGGCAGCATAAAGCTCGAAATGAATGGCGTTATTTCCCCTTGGTCTTCAGACGTCGTAGTGCTAGACTCGTAAGGCGAACTTTAGAAGTACCAGTCGTTCTAGTGACTGAATGTATGTCGCTTCTTGAACACACGAATAAAATTAGGTTAGGAATTTCCTATTTGTATATGAATTTGACGTATTAGCAATCGACGTTCGTTTTTGTTGGTAATTTTTTGTTTCATCTGATTCCTGATTGATAAATAAAGATAGGGTTATTCTAAATGGGTATTAAAAATACTGTACTACATTCATAGCTCTGACTACTGGTTAATGAAATAGCACGTAGTGTAAATTTTTAATAGGGAGGAATTAGATATCCTTACACTAACATTAGAATGTCTTTCATGAGGATTTTTGTTTACTACAAAAACGCAACTAGAAATTCTCATGAAGGATTTGAAAAATGAAAACCAATTTCTACTTCAGAAGTAGCTATTTCTCTTTTGATCATACATGTTTGAAATAGTTGCAGATTTAGTGTGCTCTGGCTCTGAAATCATATACAATTTTCATTGCATCTGGGCCTTTATATAATCAACTTATACTATACCAAGAACTCTGGGGCAATGAACAATAATAGTACCTATATGAAAAGAAGTTCAGATGACAGATAAATTGGAAGGGCCTCAGAAAAAAAAGCATTGGATGAAAATTACAGTTGACATCAAGGTATCACGAAATTTGAAAGAATAGTAGATCAAATAATTTGGTGGATTTGTCTGTTCAAGCCCTGTAAAACCGAACCAAATCCAATACAACCATTACCTTCCTCTGCTTCTCCTGAATGGACTTTGGTAAATTGTTGGAATAGATATTTTCAGACCAAAAAAAATATTGCTCCCATTTACTATCCGAATATTACTTATTGAAGATGTCTGTCAAACTGGTAATATTATTTTACATCAAATATTCACATTTACAAGATTTTGGAGATTGGGTTGGTATTACTCAAATACATAGAAGTGGCAGTGAAAATTATGTTTGTCAACGAGTCGATTCCGTATTTAGGTACAAAAAGCTTTTAAGCTCATATCATCAACTCCGAAAAATAAATAACTTTAGGAAACATATTAGTAGAGTAAATGGATTAACATATCCGCTCTAAAAATCGATTTACCTCCCACTTTTTTGTCACAAGCTAAATTTTTAGGGGTCAATATCTATTTTTTTACCCATATTTGATTGGTGGTAGAAAAAATTTTGTATGCAATACGTGCGTAAAGCACCTTTTTTCACGAATGTGAATTTTGACGCACGAGCCGAAGGCGAGTGCGAAAATCACTTTACACACTTGTTGCATAAATAACTATTAATATAAACAGGAAATATTAATGAACAAAAAATATTAGAATTATTGTCAAAAAAGCGTGGGGTGCTCAATGTATGAGAAATGTGGAACAAAGCACTTTTTTTCACAATAATTCTAATATTTTTTGTTCATTAATATTTTCTGTTTATATTAAAAATTATTTTTCACTTTTTAGTTCAATTTACTATAAAAGCGTGTTTTTTAGTTTTTTAAAACTATATTTATTTGCGTTCTTTCTCAAGTCTTTTGGAGGGGGGGACGTTACTGTGTATGTTAGTATATGTATGTGTAAAAGGCCGGGACACATCTATCATACATTCTTCCGATCCGACTCCGATCATACAATCAAGGTCCTTATTGTTGGAATAGGCGAGCAGCGTTCCCAGGAGAACGCCTGGGAACACTGCTCTCTGTTCCAAGAATAAGGACCCTGATTGTATGATCGGAGTCGGATCGGAAGAATGTATGATAGATGTGTCCCGGGCTTTAATGCATGCAGTTCGATGAAGGTTTCACTTCTACTGGGTGCGAACTGCACACTTTTTTTTATATTGTGGGTGATTTTCTTCCCTATTATTATGATAGAGAGTGTGGGCTGAGTGTCATCTTGTTTCGAAGATCTTTCAAATAATAAATAGGAAGTGACTCCGCTGCCGGCACCGGTTCTCTTTCTGGATACCGGCACCGGCATCCTCACCAGGAACCGGCGCCGGTTGCCGGCTCTGAGTTTTCCGTTTCAATAAATGAAAAAGTAGTAAGAAAAACAACAGCAAAAAGAGGAAGATAATTTTATTTTTCCTTTTTCAAATCATAAAATACAATTTATATATACAGGGTGCCGGGTGGGCCAATGGAAACTTTCCACCACGATTTTTTGGATTTGAAATAAAAATCTGGAAAAACGCTCGGATACGTCGATTTTTGATTTTAGGAGGAACTATTTTTAAGTTTTTTTCATCCCCGTAGCTTAACCTCCTAGCTGGGGTAAAACTAAGGGTAGAACAACCCCCCAAATTTGAATACGGGATAGGAGTTGTGTCATAACTATTTTCAAACCTCTCATTGAGCTATTTATGACCCTAGAATTTCGTCTTATTATTTCCATCCGTAACGAAATGACAGCTTGTCAAAATCTTGGGAATGGACAATTGTTTTAGTAAGAGTAAAAGCTAAGTATCGGTTCTACTCCTCCCCTCCCTTAATAAAAATACTAAGATTTAAAATTGTTTTATTATTATTATTGTTATTTAGGTGTACAGGGTGGCCCATTTCGATGTTTTAATAGGCTATATCGAAAACCAGCAGAGATATCAAAAATCTGGGAGCACATTCTCGAGCTCTTTTTTTAAAGAAATAACAATGGCGAAGATAAATCACGGCTAACTTGATGCGTTTAGGAAATACAGGGTACTTTTCAAATTTTGCAAAATTTTAGAAGACCTTGTGGCATCACGAATTTTTCTCCAGATGCCTCCGATTTTGGAATATTGACCAAAGTTGTGTTTTTTTAAATAGGACACCCCGTATATAATTTTTTTATTGAATAGCTCTTTGTTAGCTAATTTCAATGATATAAAGTTTTATACCTTTACCTTCTATGATTTTGGAGCAAAAAA